CATATGAGAAAAGAAATGAAACAAAAATTAATTTGATTTATAGATACACAAAAATTTAATATATATTAATTTTATTAACTTTGATTTAAAATTAAACAAATTTTAGTAAATATTAATTTTTTTCATGTGCTCTGTTTAATTAGGTTAGTTGAAATTTACTAACCCTAAAATCAGATTTTAGTAATATTAGGAGCTTTAATCGTTTATTCAAATTATGAATTATAAATAAATGATTCTGATATAGAAAAATTTAATTGATTCTCAATAAAATGCAAAGATTTAGAAAATTAGATGGCTTAGCTTATCTTACTTTATTATATATGATAAATATGTTTTTTATATGATTTAATAACATTTAAATTACTCTCAGTGCATTTAAATCTAATTAAGAACAAGCTGTTCTAATTATTTAATTTAAGTTATATTCTATGTAAGAAATAGCACCATCTGAATTAAGTATGAATAATTATTATTTTTCAAAAAGCACTAAAACCTCAAAATCCCTCTCTTTCAAATATTGAGATGGGCTGTAATTTCTAATTTTCAAATTTACTTATAGATGACAAGTAGTTAATAAATTGATATCAAAATTTTAGAGCTCTGTTAGAATAGTCTTAGCTAATCTAATAATTAGAAGCGAAACCATGCCCATATAATGGAATAATTTGGAATTATAATTTCAATCCACCAAGAAAAACAAGAATATCATACTTTATCTCCTAAATCAATTAGATGGAAGTTTAGTATATATACAATGGATTAATTTTGAGAAAGTAGAGTCAGTGTTAACATTAGAGATTAAGTTTAAGGTGCGAAAGTAAAATCTGAGGTCCTTCACAATTTAGAATAAATAAAATATTTATTTTGGCTCGGAGATTTTGGCAATGATAATTTTAAAGTCGGAAGCTGGAAGGCTATTTGGAAAGGAGAATAATTAAAACATGTGGGTGGATGGTACTCAAATGAAGGTAAAAAATATGGGTTATGGAAGGAATTAATTAAAGATTATTGGACGTAATTTTAATTATTAATTTATAAGGAAAGCTTAAGTTTATGAAGTGGGGGGATATGAGAATGACTTTCGATAAGGACTTTGGAAGCTCATCTATCGTGATAAATAAATGTAAAGTATTGTTTATTATTAAATAGTGGGGGAGGAGTATATGATTAAAATAGTCAGAAGAATGGAAAATGGGTTGAGTTATGTGATGGATTTTGGGACTATTCATAAATCATATCTAATGGTGTATATAAGAATGGGAAAAAAATTGGAGATTGGAATATTTTTTAAAGGAGTTCTTGGGATAAGCCATTCCAAATAATGTATATTTTTATAAATAGAACATTTTAAGTGGTGGAGGGTGTTATGATGGAGTAGGTTCAAGTAAGATCGGGAAATGGATTGAATTGAATGATGGCTGTTATAATAATTCTTTAATAACATGTAACGGTGTCTATTAAAATAATAAAAAAGTTGGGAAATGGAATATTTTTTATAGATGTATGTAGAATAAACCATTAGAATTAATGTATATATTTATAAAAAGAACATTTTAAGTGGTGGAGGGTGTTATGATGGAGTAAGTTCAAGTAAGATTGGGAGATGGATTGAATTGAATGAGGATTTTGGGGGGTAGTCAGAAGTAACATTTATTGGTGAATATAAAAATGGAAAAAAAGTTGGTAAATGGGATGTTTTGTTTAGGAATTAGTAAGATAAAGCATTTGAATCAATGTATATATTATTAAAAATTAATCTTTTTAGCGGAGGTGGATCATTTAATGAAAGAGGCTCAGTTAAAAATGGAAAGTGGATTGATTTAAGCGAGGGATTCTGGAAATTATCTTAAGTTACATTTAATGGTGAATATAAAAATGGTGAAAAAGTAGGCAAATGGGATATTTTTTATAGGAGTTAATAGGATAAAGGATTTAAATTAATGTATTTTTATAATAAGATCAACTTTTTAGTGGTGGAGGATCATATAATCAAGTAGGTTCAACTAAGAATGGAAGATGGATTGAGTTAAGCAATGAGTTTTGGTTTTATTCATAATTCATTTAAAATGGTGAATATAATAATGGATAGAAGATTGGTAAATGGTTGGAAATTGACATCAAGACAAACGAGTAACGAAAGGAAATCAATTTTTGAATTTTAATAATAGGATATTTATTTAAACTTATATTAGTTAAATGAATTGTATATTCTAATTTTTTAATTTTAATTAACCTCATTGAAAGAGATAATTTTTACTAAAAATGGATTATATTGTTTAATGAATTCAAATTTTATTTAAAAGTAAAATTTTATCAGGATAAAGGATATCTATTAATAAATTGAAAAGTTTATAAAAAGCTCTTCTATACTGGTACTTAATATATAAACTATCCCAACCTAGTTAAGAAAATACATTATTCAAAACACTTAATCGTCTTATCCATCTAATTCATATCACTACTAATGATGTACAAAAAAATAAAAAATTAAAAAAAAAGCTTCAAAATTAACATAAGAATATTATTACTGAACCAATAGAAAAATCATAAATCTTTTTGTTCAAGCTATTAACAAATTAAAGGAAAATAATTTTCGACAACCCATTTGAGAACTAAGTAAGAAAAGTTGAAGTTCAAAAAAATGAGTCTAAGAGAATTGGAATCTCAAAATAGAAGATTGTAATCTAGATTAATGAGTAAAATATGGAGATATTACTAAATTAAGATCATATTCAAGAGTAATTAATTTGGTTTCTTAAAACTAAATATTTCTTATTTTCAAAAAAAATTAAAATAAATTTATTAGCTTATGAAAATTTGAAGCTTAAGTAACTAGAATAAAGCTTGAATTCAAGAGAGTAAGGTGAGCAATTCATTCAAAAATGAAAAAATTTGCTTAAGTTTGTTTTATGTATTTTCTAAGACATTTCAGAGTTTGAATATTAAAGGAATAAATAATATATAAAAGGAAGTTTATAATCTAGTAGTTTTAGAATTAAAACTAATAATGAAAAGAAGGAGGCATCAAAAAAGAAATAAAATAGCAAAATAAGGTCAGATTTTATATCTTAGAATCACTAATATAGTTTAAGAATCAATCCATTTATTACGCAGTTGTTAAAGAAAAAATTTATTAATTTTAATTAAGGAGTAATTGAGATGGCTCACAAAGATTTGGCATAAATTGAAAGCAAGGTACTATTATTAACTGAAAATTTATATAGTTGATTTCTCAGACTAAATGATTATGATATAAATGTATTTAGAATTGATGCAACATATTTAGTGAGAAAAAATCTTAATGAAATTAATTTAATTTAGTTCAACTAAAATAATGAAAAATATTTTAATTTATTTTTATTAATAATAATTCATATATAAATTTAGCAAAAGATAAGAAGATCAAAATATTAAAAAATAAATGGATAATTTGTTTGTTTGAATTTCATGATTGTCGTCTGAGTTCGTTAATGATTTAATGTTAAAAAGGATGGCTTATTATTAATGCAATTTAGATATTTTGCATAAATTAAATGATTTGGTACTAATATTACATCCTTTAAAAAAAATAGGAAATTCCTTAATTAAAAAAAATAATACCTATTTTTTTTAAATATCAAAATTATATGGATCAAGTGAAGTGGCTTTATCAAAACAAATAATGGCTTCTTCATATTATAACAGACTACTCAAAGCAATACCTAAGTTTAATTTTGGAGATAAACCTTTGTAAAAATAGGCATTAACATGATTTGGATCAAATGAAATGGCTTTTTCATATTATTTCAAATCATTTAAAGCAATCCCTAATATTAAATTATGAAGATAAAACCTTATTTATAATAAGCATTAACATGATTTCAATTAAGCCAAATGGCTTTATCATACTATATTTTTGCTTGTTCATATTATTCTAAATTGCATAAACAATTGCCTAAAATTCATTTTGGAAGATAAACCTTTTTTATAATAAGCATTAACATAATTGAGATCAAGTGAAATAGATTTATCAAAATATATCATTGCGTTTTACCATTAATTTTATTTATATAGCACACAACCTATAAATAATTACTCTTTTAAAAACTTTTAAATAATTTAAATGACTATTGTTAGTATTCTCTATCAAACCTTATTCAGCAATAATAATTGCTTATTAATATTACTCCAATTCGATTAATGAAATTACTATTAATTATTTTAATTGTACTTTTTATCCATAAAGCATAAACATTATTTTTATCTAAAACTTAAATAGTATCACAAAATTTCATAATGTTTTGATCAATATCTTTTTTAATGGTTTTATTGCTTTTATCCAATTATCTCAAAGAATATACTGTTAATTATTATTTATGATACTTTATAATATTAATGTAGCTATATTATTGCCCTTAATCCTTAATTTACCTTTTAAAGTAATTTGACCTTATTCTTAAAAGTTTGGGTATTCTCTTTATAATTCTTCTAAAGTTTAAAAAGATTTATAGTTGTTATTCTGTTGCATTAATGTAACACCTTATGTTTATTTAATTATACATTAGTAAAATTTTGCCAAAGGATTTTTTGTGTCTTATTTTAAAACTTTCTCAAATTTTACTAAAGCACTATAGTATTCCTTCTAGTTTATTAATTGGATTCCTTATTTAAACCCTAATTTTAAAATATTATGAATACAGAGATCAATAATTTCTTTCTCAAATTAATTCGATTTTATTGTTTTATTCCAATTCTTTACTGTTTCAATACTATCAAGAACTTCCTTGAATTTTTATTATTTCAAGTTTTTGGCTATCTGCTAGAACTTTTGCTGCTCTGTTGTAATAATTTTAACTATTTTTTCATACTAAATCCTAAACTATTCAAACTTTTAATCAGCTTCTTCTAAATTTTTATCTAACTAATATATTATTAATCTAGTAATATATCAATTTTTTCAAATGTCTTGCAGTCCATTCTACAATTTAAATGTTTTTAAGGATTGATTA